CTTCTATGAACTTTATAGTTTTAGGCTTTATATTCAGGTCTTTGATCCATTTTGAAGTAGTTTTTGTATACGGTGTGAGGTATGGGTCCTGTTTCTTTTTTTGCAAATGGATATCCAGTTTTGCCAGCACCAGTTGTTAAAAAGACTGTCTTTTCCCCATTCGACAGACTTTGGGCCCTTGTCGAAGATCAGGTGACCGTAGGTGGATGGCTTTACATCTGGGTTCTCAATTCTGTTCCATTGGTCATGTTCTTGACTTTTTATAATACTGGGACCATACAATATTTGTCTTTTTATGATTGATTTATTTCACTCAACATAATGTCCTCCACATTCATCCATGTTATAAAATGTTTCGTGGACTCTTCAATATTCTTTACAGTTGTGTAGTATTCCATTGTATATATGCACCACAATTTTTTTATCCATTCATCCATTAATGGGCACTTAGGTTGTTTCCGCCTTCTTTGCTGTTGTAAATAGTGTTGCAGTGAACATAGGTGTGCATATTTCTATTCATGTCACTGCCCTTATATCTCTAGGATATAATATCTAGGAGTGCGATTGCTGGATCATAAGGTATTTCTGTTTCTAGCTTTTTGAGGAAGTGCCATCCTGTTTTCCGTAGTTGTTGTACCATTTTACAGTCCCACTAACAATGTATAAGAATTCAAATCCCCCCACAACCTTGCCACTGTTGGTTGGTTTCTGTTATTTTGATCTGTGCCATTTTTGCAGGGGTGAGATGGTATCTCATTGTAGTTTTGTATTTGCATCTCTCTAATGCCTAATGATCATGAGCATCTTTTATGTGTCTGTTAGCCACTTGAATGTCCTCTTTGGTGAAGTATCTGTTCATGTGCTTTGCCCATTTTTTGATTGGCTTATTTGACTTTTTGCTGTTGAGTTGTTGAAGTTTTCTATATATTTTAGAAATTAGACCATTATCAGATATTTCGTTGCCAAAGATTTTTTTCCCAGTCTGTAGGCTCTCTTTTTACTCTCTTGGTAAAGTCTTTTGATGAGTATAAGTACATAATTTTTAGGAAGTTGCAGTTATCTAATTTATCTTCTGTCATTTGTGCATTTTTAATTTTGTTTGATAGACTATGCTGAAAATTAGGGTCTCTAGTTTTGACCCTGTGTTACCTTCCAGGAACTTTATAGTTTTAGCTTTAACATTTAGGTCTTTGATCCATTTTGAGTTAGTTTTTGTGCATGGTGTGAGGTCTGGATCTTGATTCACTTTTCTGCATATGTATGTCCGATTTTGCCAGCACCGTTTGTTAAAGAGACTGTTTCTTCCCCATTCAGTGGACTTTGACCCTTTGTCGAAGATCATTTTCTGGCGGATGGATTTACTTATGGGTTCTCAATTCTGTCCCATTGG